AGAATAGAATAGAATAGGAGTGGAATGGAATAGAAGAGAATAGAATAGGAGTGGAATGGAATAGAATAGAATAGAATAGGAGTGGAATGGAATAGAAGAGAATAGAATAGGAGTGGAATGGAATAGAATAGAATAGAATCTCCCCGTGGAGATTCGGACCCTCACCACCCTCCAATCCTTCCCCGCCGCTTTGAAGATCTGGCTGTCCCGGCTGGCCTGGGGTTAAGATTCCAACCCCACCCGAATTGTGTGACTGTTGTGCTCTCTTTTAATATGTTGTATTGTTTCCATATTGGAATACTGTTTGTCTTCCGCCCCCCTTCCTTTTTGAATTGTGAGCCGCCCTGAGTCCCCCCAGGGAAAAGGGCGGCATACAAATAAAGGAAAATGAAATGAAAATGAAATGAACAACTTAGAATGAGCTTTTCCATTCCTTGCAGGAAAATGGATTGCCACTGCCAGGCCAGAGAGTATGTTATGCCCCTCCAATTAAGAAATTAAGAAGCGGTAAGCTGACCAACCTCTGATTAACTATTAACCATGCCTTGTGTGCATGGACGCTGTCGTATTTTTTGTGTCTTTGAAGAAGGGCAGTTCCTTCTTCAGCTGCCTTGAATCTGGGGCATAGGACTTGCATTTCCATCTGCAACAGAAGCTGTCACCATCTCTACCTAACTCAATAAAGGGCACGTTCGGAGAAGACAGGCCAGTGAAATCAAAGACCAACTCTTAAGACCAGTTAAGTCAAGTCTCTTGTAGCTGCTTAGCATTTATTGCTTCTTTCACTAACACCCGTTTCACTTAGTTAACAAAAGCTATCAGTGGCGTTCAACCTTTTGGACATTCCCCCCTCCCCTCCCCAGTGCCCAGAAGGGTGAATGAAGGCAACTGTGATGGTGATGATGAAGATAACAGGGCATACACTATTTATATTAAAAAATACACAATGATTTATACACATCTTCATATAGCTAAACATATAGGCACAATTGGCTTTTAAACTTTTGAAACTCTAGGCCACTGGTTTAGAACGAATCTTCAGTGGGTCCAGGGTTGGAAAAAGGTAATGTTGTCGGGGCCAAGATCCCATTGAAATACGCCCCATTACAGCAGGAGATTGGTCACAAATGGCGGTAGGGAGCTTGATTGATTTAAGCCATGGCATCTCAATAAAAGAAACAGGAGTGGTCCGGTGGCCTAGAGATGGAGCTCTCGCATCACAATCAAGAGGCTGGGAGTTCGATCCTAGGGGGAGGCAGATATTTCTCTCTCTGGACGCAATGAGAATGTATCTGCCGAACAAAAACTCCGCATTGGCAACAGGAAGGGCATCCCGCCATTAAACACTCTGCTAGCTCCATTCAGTTGCCCAGACTCCACCTCGCAAGTGTTGTTAAAAGAAGATGATCTCAATCAAAGAAACAGGATCTCTTGTTCTTCTAGCCTGATCATTATTAAATTGGGGTGGTGGACCAGGCGAAAGAATACAGGCACAGGAGTCTAAGTGAATATGTTTGTGAATATCTCACACAAACCTACCAGCTCCTTTTAGCCCCTGAATGTTTTTAGCCCGAAAGCCACTGAAAAGTGTGTTACTGCAGACTCACTGCCCTTTGGGATGGGGGACAAGAAAAAAAAAACCAGAAGAAGAAACCCTAACGAAGTATAAGCAACGGAGAAAGACTAAGGGGTTAAACCAGAGCGTTAAAAACTTGCAGCATTCCATTACAATCCAGAAGTTGCAAACCACGGTCGAAAGCGCTTCCCCAAATCTGCCCATAAGCACAAGGGAGGCATTAAATATATTTCAAGTCTTTCCAAGAGTCCTTTGGGAACGGAAGACGCTCCCGGCCGTCCCTCGAAGTCTCCTCGGATCAAGTGACGGTGTCCTTCAGTTTGGAGACGATTTTCTTGTCTTTGACTCGGCGGTTCTGGAACCAGATGGTGACCTGCCTTTCGGAGAGGTTGGTGGCTGCAGAAATCCGCCTCCGCTTGTCCTTGTTAATGAATTTGTTCAGGGCGTATTCGCTCTCCAGCTCCTTTAGCTGCAGCTTGGTGTAAGGCACCCGCTTCTTCCGCCCACGGCGGTACACGCACAGGTCAGGCTGGTTTAGTGCAACTTCGCCTGCCGGAGAAGAGGGGCAACAAGTGAGCAGGAAAGGGGGCGTTTCCCTCCTGCCAGAGCCAAGAACCCAGAGTGCCACAAAAGGAAGAATTAGAGAGACGTTGGCCCAACTCCTCTTCTTCCTCTTGGAGGTCTCCGAACAGGCGTTCCCCCAATAAATGCCTGGCATATGTGCTCTGGGACAATTTATGTGCAGTATTTCCTCCCACCCACCCCCACCCCCAGAAATAAAACCGCGGATTCCCGAAGGCTCTCATCAATCTTTTCCATTTTTAAGAATCACTGAACTCCCCTCTCCCCCCACTTCCTCCACACTTTCACAGTGGCTTTGATTGGGAAAAAAACAGCTGCAGAGAGCGGGAACATCCTCGCCCCCCCTTCCCCACCCCAGGAATAAATCCAGGGGGATTAAGCTTCGCGTAACCCCAAAGGTGCTTTTTCAAAAGGCAATTGGGGTTTTCTTTTCTTGAAGACTTTCCCTTCTCATCCACCAAGTTTCTCCTTTTTTTTTCTTCAAGAAAACAACAATAAAGTCCAGGTGCCTTTTGAAGAAGCGTTTTTGGGGGGACAGCTATGACCTTGATAACTGAGAATCTCCATAGACGGTTAGGGTAATTTCAGAGGACGTCAGTGCAGGATCGGGCCAATGCGCTCTAGTCCTGCCGCACGTCTAAGTTTAAATAACTGCCCGAAATGGAGTGGATATAGCTGGGTATGGGTGTGGGTGCTATTTACCCAGTTTCTTCTTAGTTATTTATCTCCCCCCATGCGATTTTCGCTGTATTCTTCTTCTTTTCCTTCCTAGTACCTATCTCTTTCCACTTATGACTATAGCCACGTTGCTTGTATCTTTAAAATTTATACTGTTTTATTTGTTTCCTAGTATAATTTGATTGCTTATTAGTAACCTATGGCTGTCACTAAGTCTTGTATCTTATGGTTCGATGAATGCATTCTGTTTTATTTTTCTTTATGTACACTGAGAGCTTATGCATCAAAGACAAATTCATTGTGTGTCCAATCACACTTGGCTAATAAAGAATTATATTCTATTCTAAAATTTAGGAACGCTCTGACGCCACGATCGTTATAATAGTATAGACCGAGGACTATATGGGACCAGGCTGGAGTCTCTGCTTTAGGCCTGGCCGAACATTTCCGCCAGCTCGAGGGAGCAGGGAGTCTTTGTAGATTTCGGACAAGCAGCCATTGCTTCTTGGGCCTTCTGCGTTGAGCTCGGTAGGGAACATGGCACGCCTGGTTTTAAAGTTCTACAGGAAAACTGAATAGTAAAAGGAACCCAACCCGCAGCTGGACTCGGCAGCCAATGCACGATGCTTCCTTCCTTCCTTCCTTCCTTCCTTCCTTCCTTCCTTCCTTCCTTCCTTCCTTCCTTCCTTCCTTCCTTCCTTCCTTCCTTCCTTCCTTCCTTCCTTCCTTCCTTCCTTCCTTCCTTCCTTCCTCTTTTTCTCACCCGAAGCCCTTCAGACCTCAGACTACCATTCCCACCATCCGCCCATAGTATCAAGAACCTACCAGACCCCAAACGGAGGCCTGCGCTTCTCAAATCTGAGGCCAAGCCTGCAACCTACCGCCTAGTTTTGAACTGCCCTGCCTTGAAGTTTTATTGGGACCCCCAAGGCTTCTTCCCTGCTGCCTGGGGCGCCTACCTGGGAAGGAAGACTTCCAGAAGTGGGAGCCCGGGGCCTGGTCCTTGGAGCAGTACACCTGTCCGTTCCAGCTGTTAGCCAAAGTCCAGGATTGGTAGCCCTCCATGGAGATGTAGGTCTCGTGCCGGGGCTCCCCCGAAGGGGCCGCCGGTCCAAAGCTGGAGACCATGTCCAGGTAGCTGGGGGTCACGTGCTGGTAAGGGCCGGCGGTGGCCGCATAGCTCTGGTAGAAAGAGACTTCCTTGGCCCGTGAGGAAGCGTCGCTGCCGACGCCCGAGGTTGTGGTGGCACCCCCCAGGCCGGCCACGTCCATGTACTTCTCCACGGGGAAGGCGGTGTGCGGGGCCGCTTTCAGCGCGGCGTTCTGCTGGAGCCCCACGCCGTGCGCCATGCGGCAGCTGTAGTAACCGTGACCAAAGGGGGGGTAACCTGGAGGGTAGCCTAGGGCGGCGGCGGCCGTTGTGGCCGAGGGTGGTGCCGCCGCCGCCGCCGCCGCAATAGGAAGTCCGGCGGTGCAGTCCTTAGACGAGGACGGCGTCTCAGAGGAAGAGGATGGCGTGGAGCGCGCCACGGTCCCCGGGCCCGAGCGCTCGTAGACGAAGCCCGATCTCGTCGAACCTGGCGGCGACGACCCGAAGATGGGAGGGGAGAGAAAGTTTCGACCCTGCAAGCAGCCCCCGCCGCCTGCCCCGGACTCTCCGCGCAGCGCTTCCATCTCCCGGGCGGCCGATGCTCGCTCAGGCTTCCCGCGCGAAGCAGCCCCGCTCCAGCTGCCTGCGTCGCCGTCGCCGCTGCTGGTCCTCTTCCTCCCCGGCTTGGCCCTCAGGGGAAGGCCTACAGGCGCTCATGGCGTGCGAGTCGGACGGGACGCGGAGCGAAGGAGCGGCAGTGCGGCGGCCTCCCTCTCCAAGCATCCGGGATGGTTTATAAAAACCAAGGCCACACTGGGAGGGGGGAAGCATCGCCCCCGGCCGTCCAAGGAGCTAGTCCGGGGCCTCATTGGCCAGACGGAGCACGTGTCTCTATGTGCGGGGCGGGTGTGTGCTTGGTGGTGGTGGTGGAGGTGGGAGTTGAGCCAGCGATCCCTGCTCTCCCCTCCCCTCCCTCTTCCAACATCGTTTGGGACTTCGCTTGAGTTCTCTCGAGGCAAGGAAAGTAGGGAAAGGAAAGGAAAAAGGAAAGGGAAGAAAAGGAAAGTAGGAGAGAGGAAAAAAGGAAAGGGAAGGGAAGGAGGAGAGGGGGGAAAGTAAAAGAAAAGAAAGAAGGAGAGGGGAAAAAGGAAAGGAAATGAAAAATGAAAGGGAAGAAAAGGAAAGGAGAGGAGAGGAGGAAATGGGGAAAGGAAAGGAAGAGGGGAAAAAAAGGAAGGGAAAGGAAGGGAAAGGAAAAAGGAAAGGGAAAAAAGGAAAAGAAGAGAGGGAAAAAGGAAATGAAGAGAGGAGGAAAGGGGGAGAGGAAAGGAAAGGAAGAGAGGAAAAAGGAAAGGAAAGAAGGAGAGGGGAAAAGGAAAGAAGGAGAGGGGAAAAGGAAAGGAAAGGAAAAAGGAAAGGGAAGAAAAGGAAATGAGAGGAGGAAAAAGGGAAAGGAAAGGAAAAAGGAAAGAAAATGGAAAGGGAAGAAAAGGAAAGGAGGAGATGGAGAAAAAGGTAAGGAAAGGAAAGGCGAAGAGGAGAGGGGAAAAAGGAAAGGGAAAAGGAAAGAGAAAAAAGGAAAGGAAAAGAAGCAGGAGGTAATAAAAACGGAAACACGGAGATGCACCCCTACACGTAGACATATTTACATATATGTACGTGCTCTCTCTCCCCTCCCCTCCTCTCTCATACACACACGGACCCTGCCTGGCCTCGCTTTTTCACAAAGACTTGGGAGCGGCGCAAATTCCCCGTAGTTCACCAAGAGGAAGGGACGGACCCAGAATCAACAGGCCTCCGTCTTTAGGCCCGCAGCTCTCCAGCGGCTGCTCCTTCGCCTTGCCCGCCTCCCCTCCGCTCAGATTAACCTTTGGCCTTGGGCGGGAGCAGGAGGTCTCCAGAACTGGACTGAAAGGAGCAGAATGTTTTAGTTGATCCCCCGTTGGATAAAATAATACGTTAAGAAACTGGACATAGCCGGGCAGGAGCGCGGGAATGCTCTTGGCCATTGAATTCCACGTTCGCTCCCGGGAATTGTTCGGTGACTCTCGGAGCCTTCGGATCGCTGTTCCCTAACCCCAACCCAGTCCCTGGGCAACCTGCAGAATTATTCTTATTTTCCAAGTACGGCGGTCGCGGCGATCCTTTTGACACATTGACGTGCCCGGCTCACGCTCGAAGTACTTCGTTTACTTTTATGAACTATCCCCCCCCCCCCCCCCATGTCGGATCGGTTTCTCTGATTGTTTTATATTCGACTGCTGACAGTCGCAGTAAGGATTAAGCTCCTGGACAGGCACATGCGAGACGGGAGGGGGGGAGGGAGGTGATCTGTGTATTCCTGTAATCTTACCGCCGGTGGACTCGCTAAAACGGAATCAGGGGCGCCCAGAATAGATATCCCGGAACTCCTCCATCCGTTTCCATACGCCAAAAGAGCTGCGGTATACATGCCACTTTCTCCATCTTCAGTAAAGTTCAGAAGAGCCTAGGAGACTCCGTTTGGGAAATAAACATGGAAGTTTAAGAAGACAGCAAAAGTCAGCTAGTACGCCGTTCGTTTCAGCCGTTTGCGTGAAAATAAAAAAAAATTCCCCGCTACCCGAACTAAAGAGAGCGGGAATTTCATGCAATTTTTCATGGAAATGGCTTCCCAACTAACTCTCATATTCTGGGGTTTCACGGAAGCCTCCAGAACAAAGTTCTAGCACAGATCCCACGGCAGCCTTTGGCTAGCTGGTCTCCCCAGGCACGACCAATTAAAATTTCCATCAAAATTGGGATGGCAAGGAATCGTAGTCCATTGCGTTCCGGAAAGCTCTAGTAGCTTGGGGTGAACTTTGAGCCTGAAGAATACTATAAATCTGGGGCAAGGAATTTTGTCTTATATGAGAATGCACTTAATGCTTCACGTTTAGTAGTTGGGCAGAGAAGAAAAGGAGGAAGGTACGACAATGCCCGTGAAGCTAGTTTTTAAAAAAAACATACAGTCTGTTAAAGTGCCTTTCAAATCCCTTAGCATCTCTGCAATGGGAAAGGCTATTTTTCTCCTCTTGAAGGAAGAGCTACTCTAACAAAGCAGACGAATTAAATCTGTGATAAAGTGGAAAAGGCCTGTTTGATACGAGCCAACAAATGAATCTTTAGTTTGCCCCGAATCCCAATATCAGTGCGGCCGAACAAAGCAATCCTCTCCAAGCGACCCCAAATAGTCAGAAAAGCAATAAACGCCTTTCTGTTGGATAAAAACCCATCTTTGGGCTCCTGTTCGTAGCCTTCCTAGTGACTCTGGGTGGTTTTACAGCAGAAGTGAGGAAAGGCACGTCAGCCAGAGGTTGGCAACCTACATAACCACACACAGAAACCCACCATTGTTAGTCCTGAGTGCTTATTTTAACTTTCTACAAATTGATCCTAATCCACCCTTAAAGCCGATGTAGCAAAACTAAGTAAGACCCTACTTACTTGTAGTTTATGTTAAATTTATTACATCATTATCGCACTTTTATCCCAGTGCTTTTATATTCCATACATCCTGTGCATGTACTGTATATTCAGTGACTTTTAAATTTTATGTCCGTGTTTTCTGGCCTGGCGACTGTAATAAAGTTATTCGATTTGATCAAGATCTTTGCTATCCCACCTCTTTAAATCTTGCTCAGATTTGTTTGTGGGTTTATAAGGCAGAAAGTAATTAGGAAGTGTGTGTGTGTGTGTGTGTGT